AATTCGGATTTACTCGAGGCAATTTTCAACTCCTAGACTTGAACTTGCGAATATGGTTGTCATTATCATTGAGTATTTTCATTCATGTTTGGTTAGGAATATGAATTGGGCGTCCCGATATACCGAATGGTGATTCTAGCTTCTTGTCCGGATCAATTTTTTGTAGTCACCGGTCAACCTAAAAGGTCACTCGAAAAAAAAAAAGGTCCGTTATATATATATATTTATTTATATATATCGCTATGTATAACATCTATATATGCTAAACATTTTATTGTTTCATCCGTTATTCTTTAAAAAAGCTTACATTATGAAGCAAAAATACGTTCTTTTACATTTCAAATTCGATTCAAAAGATAAAAAACCTAAAACCCAAGTTATATGTAAATCTGAACATGATTGCACTGGTTTGGATGCTAGTGCTGATGGAGAATTTTTAGTTATTACTTTCATCCGGACAATTCGGGTGATCAAATTAAATTTAATTCAAGACCCAAATAGATCAAAGTGGCCCAAGTAATCATCCATTATAATCACTCTGATGATATTGTAGTAGAATAGCACTCAATTTTTAAAAACTTTTTAGATATGAACATTCGAAAAGAATCACGTGTGTCGCAGTTCATCCTGAAAAGTCCTGTATATCGATTGGAGATGATATGGGAAAAATTACTTACTGGTATGATTAAATGAAGTTTTGTACTAAATTATGTTTTCATTAAACGTTGTTTTTTTTTTTCATATTCGTAATCTGTAGGTATTGTCTCAATGAGAAACAAATTCAGGATCCTGTGATATCGACAGTTCATTGGCATTCCCACAAAGTCAACCATATTGCATTCACAAATGATGGTATTGTACTCATGTGAAAATTTAAATTTACTTTTGTTTCAAACCTCTTATGAATTATTCTGTAGGTTCCCACCTCCTTTCTGGAGGAGAAGAAGCAGTTCTTGTAATATGGCAGGTTGAGACGGGATACAAGACATTTCTTCCTCGTCTAGGTTCCGAAATTCTTTTCGTTTCAATCAGTCCCGATCAGTCCTTGTATGCTATTGGTTTTCTGGATAATTCGATTAAGATTTATTCTGCAATCAATTCTGAAATCAAACAAGCAATACAAGGGTTAAAATATGGTATATCCTCGATTTATTTACGTATTATTCAGTTATTCATACATTTCCATAACTAACAATGAATCGAACTTATCACAGCACGATCAAACAGCACAACAAATCCTCTGTCCACTGGTCTTGTAATAGAACCGAAAAACCATCACGTAGTTCTCAATGGAATTCCAGGAACAATACAATTTTATAACGCATACACCGATAGACACGTGATGGAATTCGAGGTTTCGTCACGAAATTTGGTATCTAGAACATTTAAAAAAGAAGTCACCTATCACCACGTATGCCATGTAGCTTTTTCATCGAATGGAAATTGGATGGCCACTGTAATTTTTTATGATACAAAGTTAATGCTTTTCTTCAGTTAGTGATTGTAGTATTAAAAAATAACTTGATTCACTCTAGATTGATTCTAGAGATGATGGTGAAACGACGCCCGAATTATACTTGAAATTTTGGCAATTTGACTCATCCTCGCAAACATATGTCCTCAACACGCGTGTCGACCGTCCTCATCTAAGATCAATAGTGTCATTAAGTTACCAACATGGATCCGGGGATAGCTATCCTATCTTTGTAACCACAGGTTTAGACAACAAATTTAAGGTGTGGCGGATCAACACCGAAAATAAAAAGTCTAAAAATTCGGAGGGTATGTGAAATATTATTATATTTTATGCCTTTAATTCTTAAGATTTAATTCGAATTTCTATTATCAGACCAGATAATATGGTCATGTGACTTTGTAGGTTCTTACAGACAATACACCCCTAGCACGGCTGCTTTTTCACACGATGGATCCATACTCGCGATTGCATACGGTTCTATTGTAACATTATGGGATTCTCGATTGAACGTTGTTAATTGCGTTTTACCTATAATACCAAATAATGAAATGGTGAATCACCTTGTTTTCACCAAGAATGCACCGTTCCTAGTGGCTGCAACAAAAAAACACCTTTATGTATGGAACTTACTAACCTGTACAAGTAAGTCTTCAGACTTAGTCATTGATGGTGGTTATAATTATTTAATTTTTTTTAAATTCTTTAGTTTGGTGGAGTTATAAATTTGAGGTTCACCATCTAGCTGCTGATCCTGAAAATTCAAGTTTTGTTGTCGCGAGTAATCACGAGCAGTTACAAGGTATTAAATTTATCTAAATAATTTACTCACAGGTAACGTTAAATGCAATTGTTGATTGAATTTTTTTATTATTTTAGAATGCACATTCCTGATCTTCGATCCAAAGAGTTGCATTCCAATTGTGGTTCACAATGCAAAGGATGTTGTTGAGGCTATAGCTTATCTGCCTAAACGCCTTGACAATACAGATTCTTCTTCTGGTCCCTTGCAATCACAAATCATCTACCTGAATCAAAAATATGATATGTTAACGATAGGAGACAAAGTGGAAAAGGTAAATGACATAACCCATTGAGAATGGAAATCATTGCTGTTGGTATAATTTTTAATGCGGTACTTTAAAAAAATTTCTTTTTACTTATTGTATAATAAGCATAAAGATTAACTGAGATTTGAGATTA